ACAAGTGATTCGAATTTTTGACAAACAATTTAAACTATACAGGGTGAGTCTTAAATAAGTGCAAATATTTTCAGGGCTGGTAGATCTCGATAAAAGAAACATATTATTTTCTCTTTACCGGTTTTCAAATAAATCCAAAATAACCCAGTTATTTTACTAAAACTTCCAAAAAGATGATTTTTTCCTAAAATTTTTAGAACTACTGGATCTTTTCTGGATTTTCTTTCTCGTAAATTTAATCTAGTACCTGTGTTGACTCGATAAAAACTAAAAAAATGTCAAAAAATTAAAAAAATTCCAAATTTTTTTTCGCGAAAAAAACCTCATCGTTTTTCTGGGGTCGAACTATACTGCTCCTAATAATATTTGCAGCTCGATTTGCACTTATTTAAGATCCACCCTGTATGTATTATTATGTATGTGCTAATCATGGCTACGTAACATAAGAGATTGGACCCACACCGACGGAAACACTCTTATTCACCAAGCTCTGGACAGAGAGTCATACGCGATATTAATTGCCAACCTCAACAGAGAAGGCACGTAGGAGGAGGAGGAGGAAGATCCACCCTGTATGTATTATTATGTATGTGCTACTTTGTATTTGCAACTTCCCGATGGCTTTTAGTATTGCTTTTAGTATTTTTGACTAGTGGGTGGATGGTGGATCATATATTTTTATTAAAAAATAGGTAACCCAACCTTATTACAAGATTCATATCTCTAATTTTGTTGTACATCTCTAAGTTGTCAAATCTTCTATATTCCCATTGTCATACATTTAAAAACTATAATAGATTAAATAATAATAGATTGATGAAAGAAAAATAATAAAAAAAATAAATTAAGTTGTAGTTTATTTATTACAATGTTTTCAACTTTCCTGGTGCTTTTAAAGTACATCAATTAATTGAAATTTTATTAGATTTTCGATAAGTAATATACTTTTATTAGAAAAACAGGTAACACATCCTTGATCCAAGATTCGTGTCTCCAATTTAATACAAAATTTAAATTCAGTTTAATATATATCCTCATATTGTTAGATATCAAACAGCAATGTAAAGTATTAGTATTTAGGGGTATAAATTTGTTTTACCTAATAGATAATACTAAGTCTAACATATTAAAGGAACAAGATAAAGAGAGATGGACTTCAAAATAAAAAATCTTGAAAAGTTAAATAATTTGAAGGCTTAAATAAAAATTTACTGACTTTGATTAAATGTTTTATGTGCAATTTTGTTGGAATCTTTGTTGTTACAACATGGAGATTATACACGTTATTACAAGAAAGCTCCTTTTTTTACACTCTAAATACATGTTTGGCTAACCATTTGTCTGAAAGTGTTAATTCATTCAATGATGAATTGAAAATATCTTCTTTGGAGTGATATTTTGTATAATTTTGAAACTTTACACAACATTTTGGTTAGACCGTTTTAAGACGTACACAAATAATTAATTGTTATATTGTTACTTTTCAAATTATCACTCTGTTTTTAATAATAATATTAATTTATTAATACAATACTTGTATGAAAGTCTCCATATAAAATATTATGTGATACCATTACATAAATAGATTTTCCGATATGACCATTGCCAAGAATTAGAGAGATTTAGCAAATCTAATAAGGAATTTATATGAATCATGCTATTTCCTAATATTCCTTAAGTATCCGTTTGGTGTAGTCGATATATGTATGTACGTGTGGAGGCGTTTAAACCTTGGGGTTTGTCACCTTTCTTTTTCACAGTACCACAGACCATAAAATTCATGTAACATTTCTCTTAGTCAAACGTAATTATAATCAATCAGCGGAAATAATTAAAAGGAAAGAAAATATAACTTAACTTTAATCTTTTTTTTAAGTTCTGATGGAATGAGAATAATTTAAAATAAAATCAACAGTATGTTGTTCAAAAAGTTATTAACCTTCATACTTGAAATAAAATTAAGTACAAAACTATAATTATAAAATATCTATTTAATTTAATACACTTTAAATATTTAATGGCCTTAAATACAATGAAAAAAAATTCTTATAGGATATGCCGATCAAATTATATGAAAAATAAAACCATAGGTGGTTATTATATTTTAATATCATCAGTAATTGTGATTTTAATAGTAAAAACGTGTAATAATAGATATTTATTAGATTAAATACATCTTTATTTTACTTACAAGCTAATTTTGATATAATTTGGAGCCAGTCATGATTAATAAACAAATTCATTTTGTATAGATAGTTAATTTCATGAGTATACAGAAAGTCTGTAATAGTTATTTGTTAATATGTTCTAAAAATTATGCCGAAATATTTAAATTACCATTATTTTCTGTGACTTATTGGATTAAAAGATAAAAATGACACGTGCTCGTTAAAATTTAAAAAAATTGCACTAATTTTCTATAATTTCTATTTTTACTAGCTGTATATTTTATTGCAAATAATTCGGTATTTAGTTGTCTAATAATGAGTTTTTAATTTACATCATTTTTTCAATACTTTGTTAATAAAAATATTTACATAAAATTATCCCACTGTGTGGTAACGGCACTTCTACAATTTAATTTTTAAAAATTTGGTTACTTTTCAACTCTGATTAGAAAATTTTCAATTAAATGAATTTGATGCTAAATTAAAATAATTATTATAGCAAATAGCGGATAAATAAAATTTAAGTCTAACATAATATATAAAATGTAACTATTGTAGATATTAAATTTCATCAAAATATTAGAAATCATTTAATATTCAATTCAAAATTAAAATAGACAAATTACTTAAACTCGTTAATTAAAATAAAGATAAACATGTAAAATTTTATTTATGAAAGTTATATCATCATATTGATAAGGCACTATTACAGTATAAATTCCAATGGATTCGTCACTTACAAAAATTAATTTTTGGAATTTCGATGAGATTTCCGAGACATTTTTTTTATATATAGTAATAAACTTATTTCTATACGCATATTAGAATATGGAGCACGTAAGTATATTAAGAATATTCAAAATATTTTATTATATATATGGAAGGAAAATAAATATAAGTACCTAGTTACAATAATTATTGTTAATGATAGTAGATTAGTTGTTTAATAAAATGTTCCGAAATAATTTAACAAAGCATCTTTGATACATTTCCAAATTAACGAGACAACAAATTTCAAACAACTTATAACACAAAAGATATTATTTGGATTTTGAATCATTTTCTTAACTATCACTGAAAACTATGTTTAGTAATACAAACGACTAAATTTCCAGCAATTTTAGGTATGAGACATTATTTTAATATTATTTTTGGAAAAAAAATTAAGTTTTAAATTTATTAAGGATTATGATATATTTTAGAATGATTAATATTGAACTATTGCAAAACACTAAATTGGTAAGAAAAAAATGATTGTCATATTTTATCCAATTTATTTAAAAAAACGCGCGTTTTTAGACAACTACAGTACACTAAATTTCCAGAAAGTCTCGATATTTTGATATTAAAATAGTGTATATTTGTCAGTTAATATCTACAAAATAGTATTTACCTATGATATTGTTTGTATTGTCGAGTATTTGTTTTCCTTTATGATATTAATATTCAATTTTAAATTAAATTAATTGTTCTATGGAAAAAGATTTATATTTTTTTTTGCAGAAAATAATATATTGATAAAATGAAATATTTCAATTTATTTCTAGCACATATAAATTATTTATTTTACTAATGTTTTGTTTTCTTTAGACAAAAGGGGCTAATTTGTTCTTAACCTAACCCCAGAGATATCCTGAATCCCGAATTTTGAAAAATTGGCACACTATCGTTTTTGATACTAGAATATTTGGCAGTCAAAATGTACACAAAATACATTTAATAAGATTGTTGTGAAATGTTTAATTGTTAATTGTTTAGGTACAAATTTGTATTAATGATATACAGCATGACCCTAGATTGTCTTTACAAGAGGAAAAACTTTTTTATTATTGACATTTTGAGAAAAATGCATTCTTCATAAAAAATAGCTTCTTCTAAAATGGTTAATCTCGTTTATACTTTTCAAAATTTCCATTCCGTTTTAGAGAAAATTAAAAAAATATGAAAACTTCGTTAAATTTTTTAAAATGTAAAAATATAGTAATATAATTTAGATTTCATTCTTTTGATAGATGGTTTATAATTAATTTTGATTAATGTCACATTTTTTGGTTTTGTTGTTAAAGTAAGTATCTAATTTTGCAATAACTATTTCCCACCCTTTCCGCAGCATTAAATTAAATAAATTTTGAGCTTTTTTAACATTTTAAAATAGCAAAAATATTACGGTAATTAAAATTCTTTTAATAATAATCTACCAAAGAATGAAAACGAAATTATATTACCATAGATGAAACGCGTTTTAATTTTTAGGACTTATATGGAATCTGGTATACCTGGAATCTTCCTTGGAAAAGTATAAAACGGATTAACGATTTTAGAACAAGCATTTTTTTTTATGAAGAATGCATTTTTCCCAAAATGTCAATAACAAAACAGTTTTTCCTCTTGTAAAGACAATCCTAGGACAACTGTGTAAACACAGTAGTGGTTTAAAAAAAAACTGATATGTTCTGTTTATTATTTTCGGGGAATTGAACTAGTAATTTCAGGTCCCATGAAATATAATATTATCATAGATCATAACAAATAAAAAAATTCATATATTTTTAGATATAAAGGCACTCACTGGGTTAATTATTCTTCTGAACCATAGTAATAGTTTAAATAAATAAAATAAAAACGGGTATGAATAAATATCAGTATACTAAACTGTTTTTTATGAATCACTATAGTGATAAGAAAAGGGAAAAGGATTCCAAACGATTGATTTGTCACTCACACAATTTCCTTATTCTACCAATTTTCCGAGGTTTTCACTAAAGAAAGCGCGCTCCGCACAAATCACTAAATTCTCAAAATTTCGCACAGTATTCAATGAAAGCTCCCTACCTTTTGATACTAGCGTATGGGTCGATGCTTCAGCCATGTGCTATCTCGATAAATTCACAGTTTTAGCGGTTCTACACAACAGAGGAAAATCTAGTTCGTTACGCGCGCCCCGAATTCAAATCCTATATATCGAAAAACGTGTTTTGTCGTTGCGTTACTCGCGCTTCGCTCGCGATGTCGATGATGAATCACTGGTGCGCGCCGCGACGGGTTCGCTGTGTGTCGTTTCGTTTGTCGGAAGTCGTCTGAAAGTCTCAATTTACATATTATAGTTATATAGCTTAATTTTTCGCGCCCCCCACTCCTGACACCGCGGGCAGGATTCAACGATCCTGCCGCAGATTTCAGCACGATTGTTTATTTTTTCTCGTCGGGCCGGGGAGTGGGGATAACTAACGCAAATTTTCTCTAATCATTAGATCATTGAACTAAATAAAATAGGTGTATTTTTTATATATATTCAGTTGATACCTCGTCCTATAGCTTCTTAATTGGTACTACCTTCAACCATTATAATTGGTATTACGGTTTTTTTTTCAATAATAAGGGGCTTTTCTATGCTTGAACACACACTTCTATCCCTATACACTGCATCAACTTGTGCAGATTCTTGATAGGATATTCATAGTTCATAGTTCCTCCAGTTCTAGCCTTGCTTTCCCAAATAGAAAATGTCGCCTGCGATCCAGAGCCTCTCAATGACATATTTTATGCTCCGCTGTTTCAAGATCTTCATTGCAAACTCTGCAGCAAATACTTCATACAGGTAGCACTTCATAGCCATATGTTCTGTCAATAGATCTGTTTTAATCCGCACTGTATTCCCGTTAACTGGTAATAACCAGCTCCGTTGTGTTTTAGAACTAAGTCCTTGGATTAAAGGGTTACTATGCCTGTGCTTCTGTCTGTTTCTCCAGTGGAAATTCTGCTTTTCCCTGATCCAGAGTTTTACAGCACTACGGGTTGTACTTCTGGGTATTCCCAGTATAGGCCCTGGATTAAAGTAGGATGCCGATGATCTTTGCCTTGCTAGTAAACCTGCTTTTTCGTTGCCTTGGTTGAGGTTGTGGCCTAACCATAGAATAACTTTAACAGGCCGGGGTGTGTCTCACTGTTGGAATTACATGTATATTTTCTTGGCAGTCGTTGATATCAGTTTTACGGCAGTCGACTATAATTATATGGCATGTCATTTTCAGCTGCTTCGCTGTTAAATGATATTTTTGCAATACATGTCGTACATTTTTACCCAAGCGCCACTCCTAGTCCCTGGCATTCCCAGACGAGTCTTGACGATACCTTTATGCTTATAAGCGCCTTAAGTGCCGCCTGACTGTCTGAGCATATATTGATGATCTTACCTGAGTAAGTTCTTCTGTTTTCTCTCGCGCATTATAGCATTGCGGATATTTCTGCCTGGAATACGGTTGAGTATTTAAACTAGAAAAAAGATGAGCTTGCCCTTGGTCTTTCCCCAAATACTCTAGTACCTGTTCTGTCAGCGAATCCGTCTGTAAACCAGATTAGCTCCTCCTGAGGGAATGTTAGTATCAGTCATTTCCTCGATCTATTTTATTCACTTCGAATGGTTTATAGTAGTGATAAATAGGGGTCATTTATTTGTTCCTATCTCATTTGGAGTAGAGGTTAGAATAAATAGAATATCCGATAGAATCCTTCATATATAAGTATCCCGTTTTTGTCCTATTCCTCAGAGACAACGCACTTGGTGTTGCAGGTTACCAACTCAATTGGATTTGCAATCATATATCCATACTTAATAGTTGAACATCTCATTATAGGAACTTTTCGTGACTATTGCATCTTTTAATTCAACTGGGGTTGCTAACTTCAATTGGCGACACCAGTGCTTGGACCAACAGCATTGACACGGAAATTCAGCCAGATAAGATATCACAAAATAACCATTTTCTCGGGAGCCTTGCTATAATGTTACATTTATTTATTATGCATAATACCTTATGATCGAAAAAAAAACGGCGTTCAGATGGCTTGGAAAGGACGATCGATAACATTTCCCATATAATTTTACATATAAAATGACAGCGTTCTTCATTTTATAGCCATCGCCGACTCCGTTTTTTACATGTTACAGTAGGATCGGAAATCAGAAGTTAACATTAACAATTAGCAATAAAAGCTTACATATTTTGTATGTTACGTTTATGTTTCGTTTTCGGTGTTTATTAATTGTTATAATTATTTTATTGGTGTATTTTTTCTGTATAACCTAATCTCTCACAGGATATACAGGGTGGCCCATCGAAAACGTTCCGCAAGTCATAACGGCCAGGGTAATTTTTTTTTCAGAAAATTCAAAAACACGTCAATTTTAATTTTGTTTGTGAGGGGGACAACTTTTGCCCCAAAAATTATTGCAAAATCTTGAACCCTCTAAGCGGGGGTGGCGTTCCCTCTGAGCGGTACAAAGGTGAACCCTCTAAGCGGTACAAAGGCGTTCGCAAACGAATGGGTTAAGGTGTTTTCGTCCATACTACTACCGAACGAACGAATGAACATTCGTTCGTTCGTTCGGATAGTGAATACGCACCTATATATTACTGACATCTACAGATACCTGTGCAATATATTTATTTTTTTAAACGTCACAGAAGTATTAATTTTGCGACGTGATTGACAATCTAAAAAATCATTTTAACGCCTAGGCATAAAAGTAAAGCACTTTTACGCCTATGCACAAATTGAAACGTGAAAATATGGTTGGTTTTCGTCCTAAAGAATTAAAAGGCGTTTCTATGGTAATATTATTTCGCTTTCATTCTTTGATAGATGGTTACTATTAATTTTGATTAACGTCATATTTTTTGGTCTTGTTAAAGTATTACATTTTCCGATAACTATTATAATAACTAATCCCCTCTAGCACTTTGGCTTCGTCTAAGGAGCATCTCATTGTCTTGTCCCTGACTGTAGTGTCTTGGCCAGAGAATTGCACCAAGACGTATAACGATGCCGGATGGGGGATGGGAGCACCGTCTGTCATACCAGGTGCCTTTTATCTGTGTTCATGTATCACGGGCAGAGGGTGCGGGGGGTCTTAGCTTTCGCCTGGACCAAGAGGAGACAACCTCACCAAAAATCTAAATCCTTTGGTGGCGGGACCAGGTCATAGGGATGCGTGGCTAGATAGAAGACTAGCCTCTACTAGTCTCAACCTTGTGGCACCAGGGGGCAACCTTTTGTATTCTCGTCTCCCTTACTTCTACATGCAGGGCTTTGTAGAAGTGGACCGACTAACCCTTGTGGTGTAATTGACCTCAGATCCAAGGAGGCAAGATAGAGATAAATAATATGAGAAAGAGGGATATATGCTCTATTATAGATTCGGGACAACACCGGTATCAGGTTTAAGGAGAGACTAAGTTAAAGAGGTGGAGAAAATGGAGACAGATCTTCCAGCCTCCACCTCACGGGTACCTCAGCCGGAGACAAACTCCTCGACTGTGGAAGGGTGTATACACTCACTCGTAGGAGGTGGATGCTCACTTTTCGGAGGATGAACATCTGTTGTCAGGGGAGGATGTAAAATACCCTTCAGGGGTCCCCTTTACAACAGGAAAATTCCGATGTATGATGAGTTATAGACTGTATGATGAGCTGTAACTCAAGAAAGGGGGACACAATAGATCTTTAAAGTAGGGTTGCCAACTTTCGAAATAAAAAACAGAGGACGAGAGGGTAAAAAGAGGCACAGATGAAACATTTTTTTGAAACTTCGTCTAAAAAAACTTGTTAAAATAAAATAAACCATTTTTAACAAAACTTTTTTTCAAAACAAACGCTAACAGTAAAGTAAACATAAAATAGTTAAACATAAACTTCCACAAATATTTCTTGTACATAAATATTTCTTTATTTTCTTTTCTGTTCAAATGAGTGGGAGTAGCGAAAGACACAGATCAGCAATTTCTTAAAGCATTGTGGCGATAGAGGAATATTTTTTGGATTTTGAGTTTGGTATGTAAAAAAAGGACTCATTCAATACGTGAGAGAAAATAGGACAGTGAGATCAAAAACAGGGCTGTCCTCTGGAATAGAGGACGGTTGGCAAACCTACTTTAGAGTCGCGGTGATTACCTCTCCCCCCCCTCTTACTCATTCTACATTCTACATAGTATGCTATCCAGGATAAATTCTAGTTTCTTTTATTCAGATATGAAATTTGTTTAATTGAAAAACATAACATTCCTAATAACGCGCCAGTCACAAGCACGTCATCAAAAAAATACAGAAGCCGTTGATCTCTCTACAGAACCGCTCGGTTATATTTATTTACTAAACAACATCACAAATCCTGCAACTGAAACAATTACTGTTTGCCAACAACCGTAAAATTACTGCACAAAAATACTAATGGAACGATAAAAAAATTGCAAAGCTGTGGCGGCCACCAATTAAATGTGGAAATAACAATAACGCGACCAGTATGTTATACCATTTCGTGTCCTTTCTACTTCTGGTATTTGGTCGATTATATGTGAAAGAATTACTCCGATACTCTTTTATTGGGGTCTTTAACTCCTTAAGGCTTCTTTTCTTTGAAACTAATTATATTCGTTGCTTTTCTTACTCGCGCTATTAAACGGCCGATCATTATTGATCTAACGCAATGCTGTCCTGTGGGATGATGGTAAAGACATGCCGTTAAGTCTTTTATTAACTAACGTATTTTAATATCATGGACAGCATTACTGATACAAGAAAAACGCAACGGAAAAATTCTTCGTCAAAATTAACGTGTAATATAAAGGGTGGTCCGAATTGTATTCCGGAAACTTCGGCAGAATATTCTGCAGATAAAAATAAGTAAAAAAGTTCGTATAAATATATGCCTTAAAATGTTTCGTTTCAGAGATACAGGGTGAAGAAGTTAAATTTTTATTTGGATTTCTTCCAAATCATTTCTGAAATAACATCAATATTTGGATGAAAATTGGTATCTGGGAGTTTTTTGACATGAGAAATTTGACTTTGATGTCAAAATGACTCCTATTTGTAGGGAGCGCCACCTACATGTGTTTTCATTGTTTTAAAGAGTAATAACTTTTCGTCCGTACCTGTATAAAACTAATGAGTAAAAAATATACATTTTCGTAACTTTTTACGTAGAAAATGTCTCTTGGTAAAAATAGCTACGAGCAATCGTTCTCAAGATATTTAGAATGGAAATAGTTAATACATGTCATTATTGACAAAAAATAAACC